GGAGGGAGGGGGGTAAGGAGAGAGGGGGGAAGGAGGGAGGAAGGAGATGGATAGATAGATGGATGGGCAGATTTATAGATAAATGAATAATGAAAATGGAATTAATGATTATGGAGGAATGAATAGATGCAATAGATTGATTTATATTAATTTGTTTGATTCAGGACCTTGTTGAGGGAGAACCTTTAGATTTTACTTCAATCAGAGTGTCTGGTCTTGGTCCTATTAAAACACCCTCTGAGATGAAGACATTGGATGATTTGTTTAAGGAAGACCAATTCAAGGTTGGTATCCATAGATCTTGTAGTACACATACACCTATTTCAAAAAACGTCAGTTGGATATCTGAAAAAAGAAATCTGAGACCGATTGGAATTGTGGGGTCTGACTGAGTGTTTTCGAGTTAAAAATTCAATATACAATTACCCAGCTACAGTAGTTTGCCAGTGCAGTTCATCACTCAAAGTTGATATACCAAGATATTAATTTTTTGCAAAGTCCTAATTAAAACCACAAACAATTTACAGCTTGCAACCCACAATTCCTTTCGGTCTCAGATTTCAGATCTCCGACCGACAACGCTTTTTGAAATAGGTGTACGAGTGTGCCAATGGGATTACTCAATTATCAGTTAACTACCTTACTATTATTTTTGGCCAATTGTTAGTTAACTGTTAAATGTTAATAATTTTAGGTTATTTGTTAAATAGCTACTATTTTTTGGCCAATAGTCCCCTTCACAGTCCCCTGTGCACTCTTGAAAGGTACTGCCGTGCCTTTGCATCGAAGCTAGACAAATGGTGAGCTTGCAATGATAGAGACCTTTTTTTAACACCTTGGACAATTATTTACACGTCTCTATCATTGCAAGCTCTCTTTTCGTCTTGCTTCCGCTGCCTTTCAAGATGGCGTAGGGAAGTGTGAAGGGGACTGTTGTTAGTTAATTATGTATACTAACCCCATTAGCACCCTCATGTATTTTTACTTATTCATTAATTAATAAAGTACCTTGAAGTAGAGACGGGGTGCAGCTATGGATACACTGTATGTTAAAATTAATGGAAAAAATTAATGTAAAAAGTAGCATTGAGAAGGTTATGTGTAATTAACTCAAAAAAAAATGAATATTTTGAGTACATGGCATAACACAAAACCCAATAAAGTGTCTGTCTTGTTGGATAAGCCAATCTCTTGTCTATCTGGTTTGCCTACTAATACTGGTATATCTGTCTGTCTGTCTGCCAATATGTGCACCTGTCCATTCGTTTGTTCTGTCTGTCTGTCTGTCTTTCTGTCAATGACTACCCAGTTGTCTTGTTTATTTTTATATCTGTTGATCTTTCTGACAATCTGTTTGGCATGTCCCTTGGTTCATCTACATATATGTCATGGTTCTAATATATCCTTTTTACCTCTAGAATGTGACCATTATAATGAAAGACAAAGAGCTGAATGGTACAAACAGGTTTTTGGCAGATAACTTTATTACAGAAAAGCAATGTGGAACTTTGAATAACCTGGTTAAGGTATGGCTTTTCTTAAAGATTATTCTTGAAGTATTATTCTCTCTCTATCAACTGTTGATTTTTTTCATTTTTAAAAATTGCTAACAAAATGATAACATTGGTCATTACTATCTTCATTGATCATTGCCATCACCTCCACCTCCATATCATTGCTATTACTGTCATTTCCATTCCTACCAACATCACTGCACCACCATCTTTACTACCATTATTCAGGGTGAACACTTCTCCCTCTTATTTTTCTTGGTAGAAGTGTTAAAAAAAATCATGTTAAATGAAACAAAATCTAACGTTTCTGAGGCTAAAGGGTAAATGTTTACAGTGGGTTGCCTGTGCAATTAAGCCTCCCCTAGCCCCCCCCCATTATGATTGTAAACTGAAAATTGGAGCGAATTTAATATGGTACTTGCTGCATTTATTTAGAATGAAATTCTACATATTTGATTTTAATATATTTTCTTTAAGGACGTTCATGGCCAACACATTCCATCGTCTGATTTTTGAAGTTTTCCTCTAGAGATATTTATTATGATAAACTTTCAAAAAAAAAAACAAAAAAAAAAGAAAAACAACAACAAAAAACAAAAACAAAAAACAAAAACAAAAAAACAAACAAAAACAAAACGAAAACATTAAAAAGAGAGTGACTCACTTTGTTTTTGAGCTATAGGAGTTTGTTTGAAGAAATGAAAAAAATTTTTTTTGTTATATTTTGCTCCACAAAACATTGCAATGACGTCATCACAATGAGTGCGGAGCGCGCACCAAACTCATATGTAGAAAGGAAGCACCCAGTGCTAAAGAAACGTCCTTAATTGCCAGAAAACAATATATTATACCTAACCATTTGTGATATATATTATTTATTGCAGTAAAAGAACAGGATTATATAAAAAGAAATAGGGGCTGTATATCTCTACATGTTAGCAAAAGTCAAACATTTATTTCAACGAAAAAATGTGAAAAAAAAACCGAAAAAATTCTAAGCCAGCGATAGGACCTATCTTTCTGTTGGACAAAGAATTTTGCTTTCCTGTAGAGAGATAGAACCCTGTCCTTGATAAACAGGTCAGTTAAACTTAAAAATACGCGTCTTCATTAACTTTGAAGTGGAGAAAATGGTATCTAACGAGACGCACAGTTCAAAAAAGGTCAACATTGTTTTCTGTCTCCAATGGCGCGCAAACGCAAATCTCATTTAAATATGAAAGGAATTGCTATTGGCTGTTTATGTCTTCTTGAGTTCTGATTGGTTGAGAAAAGAAGCCATTTGACTGATTGATTGAGAAGGGAAGCCATTTGACTGATTGGTTGAGAAGGGAAGCCATTTGACTTATTGGTTGAGAAGGCAGTCTAAGAAAGGAAGCCATTTCAAAGTTAGGAAGATGGCGACTTGATTTATTAAAAACCCACCGAATACCAAGTCCATTTACTGCAGAAACGTTGGCATTTTAACAGTTTGTGTAACTCATTAGATATCAAACACCTACAAAGTTCGTAGAGACGGGTAGATAAATAGTATGGCCCTCTGAAAGAATGCGGTACATACCTAACGATAAAGAAATCTAAATAGCTTGCTAAAAATACATGATAAAATACGACTGTGTTGGTTTGGCCTTTGAACTTTGGTTATGCCAAAAAACAAATATTTTAATCCATTAAAAAAATAATGCTGAAAAAAAACGCTTATTGCATTAAACTATGATTGGTAACGCCTTAAACATCTAAAATGGTAAAAAGAGAAATTAAAATTGGAATAAATAGTTCACAGGAGTTTCCGAAAAATACCCTCTTAAAGTTTTGAGATTTGAACCGTCACGCAATCTTTTGAGTTGGAATTGTCACGCAAGTATTCACTCGAGGGTCATGCAAAGCTATACATCTTGTGTTCTTGATGAATTTGATCTTTGCTAGAAGACTGGAACCCTTGGTGATGGATATGACAGCCGCAAATCGAAGGATGGCAGTGCTTTCTCCTTTACTGATAAAGAAACGTTCGAGGGCGTCACTCCAATCTCAGCAGCTAAGGTAACAAAATCACGATATTATTCAGTCTCATAGTGTTATTTGACATTTTAACATCCCATGATGCTTTGCATTCCGGGTTGCCAACGGCCAATTTTTTTAGGGAATGCAACGCTATAGACCTCTTCGGCTCTAACGTAATGTTTTCCCATTACAGACCACATGTTATTCCCTAGAGTATCATTTCTTTGTTTAAGGTTTGTGCTTGGTTGCACATGAGAAGACACATGAATATGGATACAGCTCAAACAAAGAATCTTATTCTCAAGGAAATGACACGTGGTCTGAAATGGGAAAACATTACCCCAAGCCGAAGAGGTCTATTCAATCTGCTTTTATAAGTAAAATACTGATTTTCAATTTTCAATTTATTCTGAATTAATTTTCCACGCTGTCGAGAATCGACCAAGGGGGTTTAGTGTTACAGTGGAAACTGTAGACTGATTCCATAGTCGTAGTTTTGTTTTTGGTTTTTAAAAGACACCCTTTTAAGAACGTAAAATTAGTTGAAATATTTCTTGAAATTCTTGAAATTTCTTGTTTCCAGGCAATTACAACTGGAGTTGCAGACGCTGAATCAGTAGAACTGTACCTTAATGTCAGTGAAAAAGCTCGAGCTTTTGTCGAGACTTACTTTAAGTTGGAAACTCCCTTATACTTCAACTACATCCACCTGGTGTGCAGAGAATGGAAGCAAGGTAAGCCGTGCTCATTTATTTATATATTTGATTTTTTGAGCATATTTCAAACTTGTAGAATGAAGAATCTCGAAACAGTTCGGTTGATTGATGTTGTTACAGGCAAAGTGTCTGGTAAGATAGAACACATAAGTCACCCAGTTCACGCGGATAACTGTATCTTGCATAGCGATGGACCTGGTACATGTCCTAAAAGAGCTCCTGCATATACATGGAGAGACTTCAGGTAAGATATATAGTAGCTTGTTCTAATCGCTTCCTCATTTCTAATGGAATTCACCAATCCAGGGTGGACGGCGAAAAGACTTAAGAGTGACTGTCTGTAACGATCAAGCAAAATTCGAAATCCGTGGCAAACTTCGAAAAATCGATTTCGCTCATACTTTCAAGTTAGTTAGGGTAACGTATCCTAAGAATCGCTGTATAGTTGGTTTGATCAAATAACGCTTTATTATGGAGAAAAATGGAATTTTT